TTGTAGATTTTATCAAAGTTTGGTATAAAACCGAAGGCAAACATGAAAGGATGTCAGAGCAACACTGTAAGACATGATTTCATGGAGTGACACTGTTTCAGAATCACAATTTTTCAGTTTTGATATTTTTTCTATAAAATCCAAGGAGAGTGTTACTTTAGCCACATTGGAGCTGAGCTACTTTTTTATCCTTTATTTTTTTTGTTTTTACTGTATTTACCTGAAATGTGCACAGGACAACTATAACATGTAAAAGATTGGTGTCCATAAAAAGGACATGAACGTGCCATTAACTCTTTCACCAGTGCTTCATAATGATTTTTTTTTTTGTGTTTCAACTTTATCTTTTGGCCTTTTTTTTTCATCTGCCACTGTCAAATCCTTCAAATGAGAAACTGTATTCTTTCCTGTTATGTTGCACCCATAAGGGAACTGTTCATGTGTTTCCAGACTTTCTCTCATCATTTCAGTTGAGTGCTCTTTTTGTTCCCCATACGCTCAAAGTACAATCAACCTGACAGGGATATGCTGGGAGCTCAGAGGCTGATGTCTAAATACTGTAGCTGTTGTTCAAATCATATCAAGACAAGAGGTGAAAGTGTTAGTTTATTTCTTTTGTTGTCTCATGAGGGGAAACTGAAACAAAGGTTCACAACTGCCCAGCTATAAACGACGGTTTCTGCAGCACAGGCTTGGCTGATGAAAAATGCCTTTTAATTTTTTCAACAGTTTTCAGATTGACATGATGTCCTTAAGTGATTGCGGGGTAAATAAGTAGCTTTGATTTCAAGAAGCAATACGGCATTAGTACACTGCATAAAAAAGTTCATCCTGATGTCAAACCTCTTAAAAACTTAGCAGGGTAATCCAGAAAGTTGTGAAAAAGATGTCATAAATGTTACCTACAAAAGGGCAAAATTTAACCGCTTCTGGTTCCACTATTTATTTATACTCGATAAACACAAATCTTATCCAAACTCTGTGTTCCAGTTCCTCAAAATCAGTATGCGTGCTGTGGTAACTTTTGGTTTCTGAGCCAAGGACAAATCTTTACATGATGATATCACGAAGGTTTTATTCTCAGACGAAACAAGATTTTCACAGAAACAAACAAGCGATTACACCGCTGCTTTCACCGCCTCAGCAATAAGTCTCATTACAAACTGGAACAAACAACCAGCGGGGTGCTCCGTTAGAGTTTGTGTAAGAAAACCAGCTGAGGTCTTTTCATCACGCCTTGCTTGTGTGCAAAAGCTTGTTCACCGGAGTTGTCTATCTGCAGTTGTCTGATCTTGTTTAACCCAACTGTGTTTAAGGGCTTGGACAAATATAGCTTTGCTGTAAATGATTATTGTTAGCTGGTTTGAGAAAATGTGTCCCAGTAGTTCTCTTCTACTTTGGAGTAAGTCCAGTTTGGTCTGGTTAAATTCTGATATGGACACACAGGTTTTGACACCTAGGTTTCTCCTCTTTGTGCATGAAGTAGTTTCACCTCCTCATCATCCCTTTTTCTAATGGAAACACCCAGCCAGGAAGCTCCTGTACTGCACTTTAAGACAAAATCCCACAGAGCGATCCAACATACTCTGTCTACAATTGCTTAAAGCCTCTGTCACCAACGGTGCAGCTATCTCACCAAAGGATTCAACCTCGCAGTCTCCTGCTCAACATTATCGCTCAACAAAGTCGCCTTCCTTATTTTTCTGTCATTTTGTCAAGAGATCTCTGATGTGACGGTGGGTGAAATGTTATGATCAAGAAAAGTTTATCTTTGTGTGAAGCTATGTGGTTTGTGCCTTGTTCCAAAGTTGCATTTAATATGTGGAAGATCTTGAGATGACTAGTAATTATATCCAGAGACTGTCATGCAGTTGTTTTTGTTTGTTATACCTTTACCATCGAATTCATGTTGATTTGAAGGGATTTCTTACCTAGAAAACATCTTTGAAACGGCTTCATCTGCTTTTTTTTCTTTCTTTTTTTTTTTTTTTTTACATAAATGTGATTGTTTTCCATGCTGACAGGAGGTTGCTTTGGACAGTTTAGAAGTAGAATCAAATCTTTTGGAAAGTAGGCCTAAGAGGGTTCAAAGACACGAAAAGAGGATTTTTAAAAACACAGAGTCAAGTTTGAGTCAAGTCCAGATAAGTCTGGCTGCAGTGTTCTGTAATCCCTCATGCCATTTTAATGTCACATTGACTGTCTGTGTTCAGCAGCTTAGTTTTCTTATCGAGCTTGAAAATCTGTGTAGTCTCCTCCAGCGAGGTCCTTCATGTTGATAACAGACTGCTGATGGAAACATTTGTATTCGTCTGTAATCCCGAGTTTTCTGCTGAGGGAACTGAAATGAATTGTGAGTTTTGCAGAAAACATTTGCAGAGATAAAGTTGGCTGATGCAAGTTTGATGGGTAAGGGTTCCAGACATATTCTTCTATCATATGCATTGTACCATACTGTTCTCATGTTAATTAGTCTTTTCTTACATGCTAACATATTGTTTTGTTTGAGCAGATTAAATAAAAATTGCAATACAAGACTAGCCCTGGTTTCTTTGTCAAATTCAAGTACCGTCTTGCACAATGAGTGGGTTTAAAAGCAGTTCTGTGATAATATTTCAAGAATTATTGATTATAAATTAACATTAAAGCTTTTGGGGCGGCACAGTGGTGTAGTGGTTAGCGCTGTCGCCTCACAGCAAGAAGGTCCTGCGTTTGAATGCGGGTCAGGGCGTTTGCATGTTCTCCCTGTGTCTGCGTGGGTTTACGGTTTCCTCCCACATCCCAAAAAACATGCCTGAGTGGGGTTAGGTTAATTGGCCACTTCCAAACTTCCTGTGAGTGTGGATGGTTGTTTGTTTCTCTATGTCAGCCCTGCGATGAACTGGCGACTTGTCAAGGGTGTCCCCTGCCTTCGCCCAAAGATGCTGGGATAGGCTCCAGCCCCCCCGCAACCCTGGAAACGGGGGTAAGCGTTAGAAAATGGATGGATGGATTAAAACTTCTGTCTCTACTCATATCTTTCATCATCTTGTGTCCCATGTGTAACTACAGACATTGCAACAAATCACTGATGTTACTGTGAAGACAACTTGACCTGTTGCAATTTTCAACCTGAACTCTTGTGGTTAAAGAAAGACTGAGAGACTTCAATTCTAACGTTTTTTTAGATACAGATTGATGCTTTCCTTTCAGATTTGGACAACAAAGTTCACTAACATTAATTACACTCCCTCTCTGAAGGTGGTGACTTCTAAATCATAGTGTTTCCATGACAAAAAATTATATTCTCAAGTTTATCATTAAGGATTTGCATTTTTGCTCTCTAACTTCTGTATTCTTTTCACACTCATTGCATTAATTGTCATGTTAATCCTTGAGTGTGTTAAATACCTCACTTAACAAACTTACTATCTTTCTTTTTTCACCACCCACATGAGTTGTTACACCAGGTAAACCTCCATTTCACAGCCCAGTAACTGTGTCTGACTGTTTACAGGCGTCTCACTTTTATTCTCAGCAGAAAACAGGAAGAGAAAGACTCACTGAAAATGAGAGCCTGCATGATGTGCATGCCTTGCTGCAGTACTTCCTCCCTGTGCTGCTATCAGTTTTACTCAGCCAAACTCCTGCTGTGTTACGAAGCAAAAGACAAAGATCCTGGGGTCAACACCAAGATTTGAAACCCCATGTTTTTTTTTGGTACTAGTTGAAGTGTCAGGACAACTTTCCTCTTTGTGGGCTGCTCACTGATGCTGAACCAGAAAGAAACAGGCTGCACGAAGAAATAAATATTGAACTGGTGCTCCTTTAGAAATTGTACAAATCATTCACTTCATAAACTCATAGGAGTATTATGATCATCTCAAATTCTTTCTTTAAACCCTTTCAAAAACTGCAACAGCACATTGTCTCATAACTTCTTGAACCAGAATCTTGCATGTTGATCCTTTTTTAGTAGCAGGGGTTCGTTGTGAAAGTGTTTCACTGCAGCTTCTCTTTACAGTGCATACAGCAAAACTTCCTGTGGGCGGGGCAAAGAGGGTTCTTGCAGTGCGTCTGCAGTTCATTTGAGGTTTTGTTTGACTTGCAGCCGGAGAGGGGCTGAGCTGTGGCGAAAGCTGCACTAAGACAGGAAAACACCCACAGCTGCTGAGAAAAAAAAGATGAGGAAGCTGAAGAAACATTGATGCTGTAATTGGATTGGAGGGTTTGAAATTTTAAAAATCGATTTTTTTTCCCTCTTGTGCAGGTGTGCAAAATGTGACACAGCAATCATGCCCGCCAGTTTTTGTTTTTTTCTTTTTACTCATGTAAATAAGGCATTGTATGCAATGAAATCTACTTGGTTCATCTGCTGAGGACAGTAGGATTTAGTCACTCTGAAATCGTGGCAATTCTTCAACATCACCAAATGATGACCAGTTTGTAATAAAGGGCAGAAGGGTTATGACTTAAGTCACCTTACTTGAACTTGAAACAATACTGTTTTGAATTTTACAAACACCTCTTGAAGTAGGATCAAAAGTTCAACAAGATTCAAAACATTTTAATAGTGGAGAGGAGAGTCCTGAAGTACCAGTGTGAAAATTAATACTAACATAAGGTTCTAGAGAGAGTCCGTAACATTTATTTTTCTTTCTTTGGTAGATTGGTAGAAAAATAACTTGTTTCATATTTGACAATTATCTCATTATATTGTTGTAAATTATAACTGATTTCCATGTGTTTAAGTGTGAACAATGTTATATGATAGTGTATTATTCTTAGAAAACCCACTGTAGAGCTGATGAAGTGTCTACTGTCCACAGATGGAGTGTAATTTCTCTCCACAAATCCACCATTTGTCCGACGGACATTTGACACCAGTAAACAAAGTAGTCGTGACCCTCTTGAAAACCAATCCCCGCTCATTTAAAACCCAGTATTAACCAATGAGATTGCGGCACTGTTTCAAATGAACGCTCAGCGGGCCAATCAGCTTCCTTCGCGCCTTTCTTGCTACTGGTGGTTTAGCTCAGAGAGGGAGGGAACGAGCCGTACGTCAAACGTTAGCCAAGTCTGTTTTTAAAATATACCGCTTAATTTGGTCAATTCCTCGTCTTTTTAAGCAATATTTCTTCTATACTTTTTACCAACTGGAGTTATTCGCGCAGGATAAAGGTAAGTCCTTCCACTCATCACATTTTTGAGGCGCAAAACAACACGCTCTACTTGTCTCTTTGTTGAGATACTACGACTAGCCGTGGCTAAGTCAAGCTGTCTGTATGCGGGCTCCGACTAATTCCTGGGTTCTCAACTTATTTCCGCCGGTTTAAGTAGAAGTTACTGCTGTGTTGTGTCTTAATGGTTTTTAGTATTTCTCTTGAGTGGGCCACAATTCAAAAAGAAATACTCCGAATTTTTTCACAAGAGCTTGAAACTAACAACCCTTAATTTTGGGACGTATCTTCCGCGAACTACCAGATTAACGGAATGTAACAATGTGGTTCGCAGAAATTAGACATCCCCCGCTAGGTCGGAGATAACCGTTGTCAGATTGCAATGCCAGCTTTTGCAGTAGTCTGTTTGTCTTTTCTAAACACATATATGTATAAACACGTTTGTTGGAGTACTTTTGCTCACCTGAGGTTGAACTGTAATGGTTTTATTGTAACGGGTTGCTTTGTTGACGGATGCGTGTGCTTTCCCCGTTTACAGTATTTGAATGCATGACGTTTTCCCTCCTTTCCTTTCTCTCGCCTGTTAGCAAACATCACGGGTGTCTTGAAGCCAATAAAGCTCATACTCTGTGCAGTTTCCAAAAGAAATAACCTTTTACTTGGCTTTGAATGATTTAACTTACATTAAACTGTAAGGCAGAATTAAATCGTAGATAGGAATATACGAGTAAGCGAGAAATGTATAATAGGATCAGCAGTAAAATAGTCATTTGTTATGAATGAAGCAGATTCACTGTATAATTAATCTGAATTTTTGACGTTAAAGTAGGAGTTATTTTTATTAATGTATTTGCCGCATGGTCTCTCATTTTCTCTTCTAAGAATGGCAGCAAACCATACAGAAGAGAGTGCACTCTGGTGAGAAACAAACCCTGTAGTAGTCACTTACTTACTTCTCCCCTAACACATGATTCATTTCAAAGGGACTAAATACCAGGTGGAGCTACTATGCATTTTTTTACACTCTGGGGGGGATGTCTGCCTGCCAAACTAGTATTTAAACCCCACCCTCGCTACTGCTCATATCCTTTCATCAGCCCAACCTGTGAACTGATGGGAAACTCTCAGCAGTCACGTTTCTCTCCTGACTTTCACATTCCCTATGGAACTCAGCAGGCAAGCCAGGAGGGCGACGCAGGCGCTTACTTTGGGTGTGTCATATTTATGTGGGTTTCATTCAGATGGTGTGGGATGTTTTTGGTCTTTTTACAAGATTACATAAATGACCAATGGATTAGGGTTAGACTGGATATGTTTGACTCTCCCTGCTTACTTGCTGTAATCCTAGTGAGCCAACTTCTAAATGGATTGTTTGAGCTTTTGCTGTAGATCAGTTCGGTCACTTTTGTATTTGTGAAGGATTACGAGACGAAAATGAGGAACAAATTGGCTTTAACTTTATTTTTTTTTGTAAATTGTAATATGTCCTTAGTGTGATTATTGCTAAATAGTGGATTTTTTTTAACTCAAAGTTGTATTTCTCATCAGAGCAGTGGAATTTTAATCGGCATGTCTGCTGGCAGGATGCTATCGATATATTGAGTAGCTGAAGTGTTAAAAATCCAATATGCTTTGATAAGTAAGTTGTACTTTAATGATTTTCATAAATGCTGTATATTTGGTAAATCACATGTTAAGTTTTTATTGTATTTATCTTGGCAAATATTAATTCCAGAAAAGTTGATGTAGAGATGTTGGAAATAACTGGGACTCACTGCATAGTTTTTCTGTAACTGTCTACACACCAGCTGATGAAGTGAGCCAGCTTTACAGCCGCACTTGAGTTTTCCATCAGTGGTAAAGTTGCGAGTGTAACCCCTCTCTCAGACAGACAGCTTTGGGTAAACCTAGCAGGGACAGACCTGTCAGCAGTTCTGCAGTAGTGGGCTGGTTTCTAGACACTGAGCTTCCCTGGTCCCTAATGTTCCATAATGCTGACTTTGCCAGGCTCAACTCTTTGTGTTGGCTATCGCACTCTCTTTAGTTTTTTTTTTTTTAGTTTGTCTGCCATTCAGAAGTGTTCACTTAATGTCTAGCTCTTCAAAATGTGGACATGAATTCATTGTCAAAAGATAACTATATATATTGTTTTTCCTCTTTTCCTTTGGTGGAGAGCATCGTTGTTATTTTCTGATCAGAATAGCAACTAAAAATTGTCAGTTTTTTACAATCAAGCAGTTATGATGTATTACATTTGATGTGTTTTATGATTTGGATCAGCTTCACACTAAAAGCTCCAACAGCAGAAGTGCATTGGAATGCATCATTCATTGTTATCCAGTGACATGTTGTAACATTCAAATACGACTCTACACAATCAGTGAGATATTCAAAGTGGTATTTAACTATTATTTTTTTTTACTCCTAATGAGTTGAACTCCAACATACTGTGTAGTTCACTTGTAATAGAGTATTTACACATATTCAAACACAATGTAATTCTTTAAGAAATACCTGAGTACTTATTCTGCACCTACACTGCATGAAAATATCAATGAACTTCTCAGTAGAGTGGCTCATTTATCTGCTGTTTAAATAAATTTGCAGTAGTTCTTATCAAGTACTCACCAGCCTTGTCCTTGTTTTTTTTTACCGAATAGTCATTTGCTACTAAATGGTCAAATACCATAGCAACTGCCTTAGGAAGTTGTTCAACTTGATCTAGATGCCAGTGTGGCCAGACAAAGGATGTGTAGTATCAAGCAATTGCTCATGTTTTTGCAACTAGATACATTTTAAGTGCACCTCTTTGGTAAATGGAATTGTAGCCTTGTGTTGAAGCCTTGACCGTAATAACGGTGAGCAGCAAGCCAATAGAATTGGTTCTTCTCACAACTATTGACAGTAGCACGCTGGAACATGCAGAGTTGTTGTAAAACACAATGTCATCATTAACTTTAGTAAGTTTTGGACTCGTGAGAAAACCACCAGTGGTACCTAACTAGCCTCACTTATTTGATTAAAAAATGTTATTAACTGCATTTGGAGAGTGGTCAGAGCTGCTTCTAGATCCTGAATTTAAACAACAGAATTATTATTACGACATATGATTTGGATCTACTACGTTTTTTATTCTCTGCTTTCAATTCAAATCTCCCTCCTACCTCTATCAGACTGTATTTGGTCCTCTGACAGCAGCTTTGACACTTGTTGAAGTGGTGGCATAAGAGTTGGAAAGAGTTCATGTGGGAGCAACATGTTGCTCAATAAACAATAATTTTTGTTGATGCCAAAAATTATGGTTTATCTGCACTGCAAACCCCATGATGGTCCTTCTGGTGAAACAAAGTATGTGCACCCACTGAAGGTGTAGAGTCGGAAAGTAAGCACTCTGATCCTGTAAGTTTAGCAGTCTGTATGTGTGCCCCTAACATTAATCTGCACCAAGATGTGTGGGAGGACAAGTATGAAGAGATGTTGGAGATGTGATGAATGGTCCAGTCACATGGCATGTGGTCTGTCATTGTAAGGTTGTCTGTACATACCAGCTTTTATCTTTTGCCCAGTGCCTCTGGATAACCTTTATTTTTCAATGCAGCCACATGATTTAATCATAAAATGTCTTTTTTGTTGATTAAATGACATGCTTATTGGGTTGTTTGGATTATTATGAGTCCTGATTGATTCAGATTTATCAGCCATTTTTTTTTAAATTGTGAAAATTAACCACTCTCCATCCATAGAAAGTGTATGCCACTGCTGTTGTTTTAAATATGTATGCCAAGACAGTGTGAGGGACAAAGAGCTCATTGAGATTTGGAGATGCCTCTTTGGCTGTCAGTCAAAGCAGATTGTTAAAGTCTGAGATCATGCTGTGTGCCTCAGTATGGAAAGGGCAGAGTGCCAAGACAATGTCTGTCATTGTATCGAAACATCTTTTTCTGTACTCAAGGAGGACTACTCACCAATATCCAATTAGGTTTAGCTGCACTGACTTTTCATGTGTTTATTGACAAAAATGTTTGATACCAGACGTAAACGGCTGTTTTCCTCAATTTTCAAATTTTTTATACATCAATGACCGTGTATTTTAAAAAAAGGGACATTGCCCAACTGACTGAACAACAGTCTTGAAAGCTGTTAAAGACAAAAATGTTCTCATATGCAGACAGAGTGCGAGACATCATACTCTGCTTAGAGGTAGGAGCTGGTCTCATCTTTCATGAGGTGAGGACGGATTGCCTTTCAGGTACAGGGCTGACACATATGGACAAATAGTCCTTTGTTGACAATAATAGAATAGATAATTTGACTGATATTCAGGTACTGGTCAGATCCAGCATTTGACATTCAACTTGGGCATTTGGAGCAGTTGCCTATCTACTGAGCTGTGGTCTTATACCTAAAAGTTTGATGCAGATGTGAGGGATGATAAAGAAAGTGAAACAAGTTGCTCTCTAACGCTCAGTCAGATCTGATCGGACAAACTAGAGATTGAAGCTAGTTTTTGCAAGGCCAAAATAATGATATTGGTCATTCAGTGAAGTTGTTCACATGAACAGATTACTGAGTGTTATCTTCATGTTTCTTCTCACTGATAGACATCGAGTGCTGATTGTCTGCTTTGTTTCCATATCCCCCGCCTGTTTCACTTTCTTTATCAGCCTTTCTTCGCCCCCCTTTAGTTTCCTTTCTCTCTGATCACATCCTGTGTTTTCTGTGTCCTCACTCAGGTCAAGAAGGATGCCTTCTGTAAAGTACCAGAAAGGGGACATGGTAATGGGCCGCTGGCCTGGCAGCAGCTTGTATTATGAAGTGAAGGTGTTGAGTTTTGACACCAAAAGCCAGCTTTACACCGTCATCTACAAGGATGGGACTGAGCTGGAGTTAAAGGAGCAAGACATCAAGGTATTCACAAACTCAGAAGCCGCTTTTACATCAACATTCCATCACAGTGCCCAAGTTTAGAGATGAAGGATGACCTGTGCATTTGTTAATGATGGTTGCGATCTCCTTTTGTTTTTCTCCAAGAACCCAGCCGGTTTCCAGACCCGCACTCGCTCCCGCTCTCGTTCCCGATCACCGGGCCGCCGCCGTAGCAGGTCACGCTCGCCAGCGAGGACCACAAGACGCTCCTCGTCCCGTACAGCAGCCGCTGTTGCTGCCGCAGCCATAACAGAGAGTGCACCGACCACTCGCAGGGATGCAAGGCTGAAGGAGGCTATAGAAGTCAGGCTAAGCTCCCTGGTAAGTGCCTCAGTAGCTTTTTCAATTTTAAAAAGGAGAAAAGACTTAAATAAATATAAAAATACATAATCCTGCTCAGGAAAGCGTTTTCAACTACCCCTGCACTTCTCCGCATTTTATTTCTGAAAGTATCGGTTAAAACCAGCGAGTTTTGGACGATTACCGATTAGTCTCAAACGGGCTAAAATTGGCCCATTTAATCGACTCGCTGATAAATCAGTCGGGCCCTAGTACACATGCCCCTTTTCCAGATGTTTTAAAATGTATTGCTAGCATCAGATTATAAAGAACTTTTGTGTTTGTGTTTTCAAAAACAATGAAACAGTTTAGTTTCAAATTTGATTTGTTGTCTTTGCAGTATTTTTCAAATTTGATACAGGCTCTAAAACCCTCCAATCTAGTTTGTATGAAGATTTTACACAGTGGCCTAACTTGAATGGAGTTGGGGTTGCTGTAGTTGAATTTGACTTCTCTTCATAAGTAGATAATCCAGTTTATGGTCAGTTGTCCTTGATCATCAGTACCTCTTCATTGTAGAGAAATAGGTTTTTGTCCGTGCTGTTCTGGGGTCCGACCACAACAGTCTCACGTTCCCTTTGCCTGTTCCTCACGTGTGTTTTTTTTTCCCTCCTCTCTGTCTCTCTCCATTTCCATCAATCTCCCTCCTTTGTGTGGCGGACAGGATCAGACAAAGCCAGCTGAGAACAATAGCAACAATAAGCATGAAAAGAAAGAGGAGAATAACACTGCTAACAAAGTTGATGAGGTGAGTTTTATCTTAGGGTCGAATAAATTTGTTTCATACGTATCAGAAGTCACTCTGTCCAGCTTCTGTCAGTGCACACATGAGCATCAACAGAGGTGAATACAGACAGAAAATTCACTGAAGGAAATGGGGGCAAAAACACTTTTTTCTTTTTAACTCCTCAGCTCTTTACTGCTGAGTCTCTTGCAGAGTAAAATAAGTTCAAATAAAAGTGCCACTAAAGAAAAATAAACCATGTTCTAGGTGCTCCTCTCTGTCTAGCTATGAAAGGGCTTTGAGGTAAGTCAGAGCTGCTGGAATGTCATGATGCGTGCATGTTGGGGGCCGTGTGTATGTTTTCCAGCTGAGAGAGGCTCCCCTCACAAGATTGTGCTTCATTTAGCCAGTCACATGACACACGGACATGTGCCGCCTCTTTACTCCCTGATTTTCACGTTTTCTGACAGCTTTGCCGTTATCGTTATCTGTGATTATAACAAACTTGAGCTGAAAGTACACAGACTGTGAGTTTACAGCTGTTTTGTGCCTGTTTTCATGGGTGTTTTTCTTATTGATAGTTTTATGTATTCTGAGAAGGATTACAAACCAATGATTGTCTCGCCTGTAAAGTCAGGATGGCTATGTGACCTTACACTAATCCCCAATAGGTATACTCTTTGTAAGAAGCTTTCTGAGGAGGGGGGAGAAAGCAGCTCATACAGAGCTTTGGAAAAGTATAGATCAGAAAGTAAAGCCTTATGGAGACATTTCCAACAGATTAAAGTCAACACAAATATGATATGATGAATGAGCAGGGAGTGAGGAAAATCATCAAACGGCTGAAAATAAAAGTTGAAATCTTCAGAAAATGTACAGTCAGGACTTCGTTTTGTAATTTGCAGTTAATAGTTTTATTGAAAGTTAAACCGTACATGATTAAAAACTGCCCAAGGCATCATCACAATGGATTAATTTGTGTATGAGGAACTAAATAAGCAGAACAATTAGCTTCTCTACCACTTAAAGGTTTTAGTATATCCATTTTTTGCTCAATACCTGAATCTATAGTGAGGACAACTTTGTAAGAGATTTACTTTGAGATTTCCACTAACACGTGGACAGTATTTGAGCAGTAATGTACTTAATAAAGGTATCTGTCAGAGAAATCCTGAAATGGGTTAGTCTCCTGTCACTGTTTATGACACCTGAATTAAAGTTCAGCTTCATTACGTTGGAATTACTTCGATTTTATGACTTCAGAGATTGTTTTGGTCAGTGTTCGGACATCCCGTATTTGGTGTGTTCTGCTTGTATTTCATTGGCTCACATTAACTTTAAGTTTGATCTCTATACTGACTGTTTTTGACATTAAGCCTGAGCCTTTCAAAGCACTTATGGTAAATGTAACCGGGGGGCTTTGTTTAAATTGCAAACTTTAATTGTGTTTAACCTTAACTGTGATTTTTAAATAAGTTTTTAATAATTCTTGATGAGTCTTAATTCTTCTTTTTCTCTCTAAGGTGGAAGCCGAGCCTGAAAAGAACCAAAGCCGTTACAATCTGCGCCGCAGGAAGGACGACGGAGATGCCAAAGAAGCCGAGGCCAAACCAGAGCAGCTGGAGGAGAAGGAGGCCAAGCCGGCCGCACCTCCTTCTGCCGCTACCACCCCGCTTGACTTTGGAGGGAAGATAGGTAGGTTAAAAGGATAAAAGGGAAATCCAGTGTCATGTCTGTAGTCGGCTACTAACTGAAGTGCTCTTCTGTTGTATCGTTGAGTGGAAATGTTAAACTGCGCCTGATCTAATCTAAAGATCTGTTTAACTTATTTGTCTTTCCTTTTCTACCAGGAGCTTACTTCTGGCTGCTGTTCCTACCAGCCTGGGTTCTCTTCGTTATACTCCAAGTCAACCTCGAGGACCCCAGCTTGGCCAACTTCCCCCCTCCTGTACCCCCTCTTGAAACTTTCTGGGATGGACAGGCTCTTGGATTTGTTATTCTCTGGATTTTATTCCAGGCCTTGCTCTACATCCTGCCAGTGGGAAAGGTGAGTGGCAGAAGCTACGATGACGGGTCGGTTGTTCAACAAAAATGCGTTTTACCTTTTTCCTCTTTTTAGCCGTATGAAAAACAATCAGTTTAGTATTCAACTGAGCCAGCAGCTGCCTCACTCCTTGTATTCACATGTAGAGGAAAGACAACTTGGCACATGATTTTCTCTGTTTGTGAGCTCTGGCAGGAGGCAGAAATTGGATTAATGGTCAGGAGTCACAGTTAATGAGATGCTCCACGGGGGAAAAAGGAGTTCTTTTAGTCTCTGTCCGGGGTCATCTCACACTGCCTGAGATAATTGTCTTCCTACCTAAATGACTAACCTTATGAACATGTGATATTTTGAAATTGGATAACAGCTCAGTTAGGGTGTTCTGCTCAAAAGCTGACAATTGTCTTTTATAGTTTCTGTCCTTTCTCTCTCTGTTCTCCTCGAAAGCAATGTCAATGATTAAAGACAGATTCATGACCGTAATTTGTCAATTTAATGATAATCTGACTTTGTTTCAAGAGTAATAAATATAAAGTATAAATGGAGTATAAATAAGTATAAAAGTATATAGAGAGTGTATAAATAAGAGTATGAATTAGAGTATATAAATGAGTATAAATGGAAAATGAAATATATGGACAATCAGTGACTTTTCCTTTTTTTTTATTCTGACTGTCAGCCTTTCGCTGAGGTGAGACTACACAATATTTCTGTCAGTCACAACAGTCACTGTCAGGTTTTGTGATCACAGAGCCTCAAAATCCTTCTGGTTGACTACCTGATGGTACACGACAACCATGAACAGCATGATGACTTTAGAGGTGGAGGGCCTGGGCTAGGTGACAGCAGCTGCCCACCACGATAACATCCTAAGGGCAGGGCCTTTATAACTACCTTTTCCACTGTCTCACTGCTCCAGCCTCATCAGTTTACTTTGCTCTCTTCTCTGTTTGTTTGTTTGTTTGCGCTTGTGATTTGTGACCGCATGTCAAGAGCGCTCTGTGCTCTTATTGGACAGTGTCACTGATGTCATGGAACAAGTTATAGAAGGTTGGGAGAAAAATCAAACATGCCAGACGTTCTGTCTGGAGCTGTTGGGAGGTGCCGCAGATGTGCCCTTGATTGTTGTTCATTATTACATACTGGACTATACACTAGATCAGAGGTGGGCAATTCATTTTTACATGAGGCCACATGAGAAATCTGAACTATATTGGAGGGCCGAACCAACAATAACTTTAACTTCAAATCAGTGGGGGTTCACACATACAGAAAAGCAAGCCCAAATAAGCAACTACTAGTTAAAAACAAACCCAAAAAAAGTGCAACCGCAACTCACGAATTTTACAAGCAACTTTTGAGAAAAACAAGCCTAAAGTCGTTTATAATAAGCGGACTTGGCAACTATAAGGCGTCTACTCATATTTTGCCGATGTTTAAACTTGTCTATGTTCACAAATGCAGATCTAGGATGTACGCACATGCGTCTAATCGGAAATAAAACAACGGCTAGGTTTTTCAAAATAAAAGCAACACACTCGTATAGCATGTTGATGATTTGATTGACGGACCTCATAAAGGGCCGGGCAGGGACATCGAAAGGGCTGGATGTGGCCCTCAGGCCGTAAAATGCTCAGGTCTGCTGTCGGTAAAACAATCAATTTTCAGGGCTGACGGGTCTCTGCAAACTGTAATGTTCATGTGTTTAATTGGTGTAGCCTGAGCTGATGCCATTATCAGGTGTGTTTATGAGTTAAAGCACAATGGTGATCAATGAACAAGTTGTGATCAGCTGTTAATCTCAGTGTTTCCTCTCTCCTTCAGCTGAGCGAGGGCATGCCACTGAGGTCTGGACAACGGCTGAAGTACCGAACCAATGGTGAGCAAACCAGCCTCTGTCTTTGTCAGGGCACTGAAGCTTCAGTTAAAGCTTGACAGATCATTAATTTTTTGGTCTCTTCCAGGTTTCTTTGCGATCGTGTTGAGTTCTGTAGCAGTGGCAGCAGCGGCGTACCAGGGCGTTGACCTCACCTACATCCACAGCCACTTCCTTCAGCTGGCGGTGGCGACTTTCCTCATCTCTGTACTGCTCAGCGTCTACCTGTACGTCCGCTCTCGTTACGCTGCTCCAGAGCATCTGGCACTGGGGGGCAACTCTGGTAAGTGAAAGATCAACAGATATCTACTCATGTAAAGATGTTGTGTGTATGTATCATTAATTCTTCTCGTCTGTGGTCGCATTTTTGACTCTGATGTCTCATGCGCTATTTCTCCAGGTAATGTAGTGTATGACTTCTTCAAAGGACATGAGCTTAATCCACGCATCAAGAACTTTGACCTGAAATTCTTCTGTGAGATGCGCCCTGGTCTGATTGGCTGGGTGAGTTTTTGTGGATAACATAATTAAATCTTTGTGAAATATAATCATCAGTGAAGAATTAAATCACTTAAATTTAAAGTTGTTTAACTCTGCTAATATTTGATTGTGACAGGGCCTTTTATTTCTTTCCCCTCATCACCCTCTAGTGGCCAAATGTAGAAACTTCATATCCTCAGACAGGCATGAAAAGAGTGAAAGCCTCTCTGTGTTCTTATAATACAGCAAACATTGATTATAATTAATGATTGTTTTCTCTCTCTCTTTTTCAGTGTTTGATCAACTTTGCCATGGCTCTGGCTGAGATGAAGCAGCAGGGTCTGGATGCTCCGTCACACTCGATGATCCTCGTGAACATCTTCCAGCTTCTCTATGTTGTAGACGGTCTCTGGAATGAGGTGAGGCCTGACGGTCATTAGACAATAATGCTGCACAATTAACTCTTTTTTTAATGCTTTTTTATTCCGGATTTTAACTTCTTTGGTAATCTTTTAAAAAAAAACTGAGTTAATGAGACAGCTTGATGAATTTCTGTCTCGTCTGTTCCTCAGGAGGCAATCCTGACCACCATGGACTTGATGCACGATGGTTTTGGTTTCATGCTGGCATTTGGTGATCTGGTGTGGGTTCCCTTCACGTACACCCTGCAGGCCTATTACTTGGTTAGCCACCCAAACCCACTGAGCCTCCCTGCTGTTGCAGCCATCATCACACTGAAACGTAAGCAGGGGCAAAGCTACGATAGACTCTTTGTACAAATAATCTGGATTGTGTTTTAATGAGTTTATAAAAGCTCTTTTTCGTGCTGTCTTGAGTTCATGTGTAAATGTCATGTCGTCTTTTTTTTTTCTTGGTTTCTCTTTGTTTCAGTTGGGGGCTTCTACATCTTCAGGAAATCCAACTCTGAGAAAAATGCCTTCAGAAGGAACCCAGCAGACCCCAAACTCTCTCGTAAGTTGTCTTGAGTTTAAATAGATCCACATCCAGCTTCAAGGGAAGGTTCAGTAATTTTAAAGTGGAGTTGTGTGAGATTAGCTGACAAAAGACAGTTCATATTCGTCTTTGCTGGCAGGTGGGTTTTCGAACTGATATCATTTTAAGTAACCCCCACTCTGTTACATAATTTAACTAATCTTAACAAACTCAAGCTGTTCTCTGTTTGGAAATTTGTTAGCATTTACATTTGTGATTAAATTTAAATTAAATTAAAACATCAAACTCTAAAAATAATCCAGATGACTCAGGAAGAGCTGCAGAGTTCACATCTTTTGTCGCTCTCTTCTGTCCAGATCTGAAGACCATCCCCACAGCTACAGGGAAGAGTCTGCTGGTGTCTGGCTGGTGGGGTGTGGTCCGCCACCCGAACTACCTGGGAGACCTTATCATGGCCCTGGCCTGGTCCTTGCCCTGTGGTGAGTTTATTCATGTTCACAACATAAATATTCAAACTGGAAAAGTGTCATCTCCTTTCTTACTCTGATGATGGAAGTGCAAAAACACACAGCAAGAAGCCAAAAGACCGTATGTGTGTCCAAACTGTGTGTTACATAGTGTCAGAGCATGTGCCTTGTGAAAAAAGTTAGTGTCAAGCCGTGTCTCCTTTTGGATACAGATTTGAGTGGGTGGTTCTTTTAACTGTGTTCCCTGTCCTTTTTTGATTGTCTGCTCGTGCAGGTTTCAGCCACCTCCTTCCATGGTACTACATGATCTATTTCATCATCCTGCTTGTTCACCGAGACTCCCGAGACATGAGCGAGTGCAGGAGGAAGTACGGCTCCGCGTGGGACGAGTACTGCCGGACTGTTCGTTACCGGATCATTCCCCGCGTCTACTAAGAAGACGAAGGACGCTCCCGAGCTGAGGCCTTTTTTGACCCAGTATTGTGGCTGTGAAGGCAAAAAACAACAAAAAAAACTAAATATGAATGGATTAACTGACTGATTTGTTTTTTAGATTTTCTTTTGAACAAAGAGTTTTTAAAAATCTTCTGTGGACTGAAGGCGCTGCAGTATTTTGAATATTTTCATGAAAGGAAAAAAAGACGCTCATTGGTTTTAACGGACTTTGGAAGGATTGCCTTTTTAATCAAAACAACACTCAAAATGTCTGTTTTTTTTTTTTAAGTTTACAAAAGGGGAGAAAAAAAAGCCTCTGCAAGGAATGTCTTGTTGGGATGTATATTTTTGTATATACACTTTTGTTTTTTACTGCAGGAATAACTCAACACTTGCAAAATTTTTGCTAAAATTTTACTCTTTGTTCCCATTTTCCAAATACAACAATATCAGCTTGGTAACTATGAATAACTTTGTAAGTACGCCTTCCTACTTTGATGAAACTGCTTGTGTATATTGTGAAAGACGGGATTGAAAATGCTAATTCATTTGAAATGACTTGTACAGCAGAACAAGGACTTCTGTTCTTTCTCAGGACCCAGGATGTTGTCTGAAATCAACATTAGAAAAACGTCTCAAAGAGTTTTGTTGTGTATAATGTTACAGAGATATCTAGTTTTGACTGAAGAGTGTAAAACATTTTTTAGTGATGGTAAGAAAAAAATGCACTAATGTGTGACATCTTTTTTTGATTTTATTATTTTGCTTTATGGACTCCAAAGTGTATTTGATTTGGCCTCGCTACCTCCGGTTCTCTCACTGTCCAGTCCATGATGCTCAGTACACTCTGGGAGACAGTGTGGGTAATCATGAGTGTGACATTGACGGAAATGAACTAGATCTCAACAGTTTTTAGTATCTGTGATAGAAAAACAAAAAGTGGCACCTGCCTCAATCTAAGTGTCATGACTTGAAAACGAAATATCCCAAACTACGTTTATTCGCCACATTTTTATGGCACGGGTGGAACTATCTGTATTTTTTATTCTCCAGATCATGGTCTCTCTTCTGAACCGGTGTTTGTTTTTTAATTTGGCAACCACTGCCACGTGAATTTGGTTTTGAACCTGTTAAGCTTTAATTTTCCGGGTCATATGACTATCTTGATTAAGTTAATACTGTGACAACATGCCAAGCTTTGATTATGCCAGCATTTATTATCTCTGCTATTGCAAACCCAAAAGAAGTACTTTTACGCATGTGCAGCTCTAGAGCAGTATAAGTAGCAATACATGAAGTAGATTAGGTAGCATTTCTTTGAATGCTGTGCTGACTGAATACCATGTAAATATAGTTTGTTTTTAATCATGTTGTTTTCAGAAAAAAGAGGTGATTAGTGATCATAGTTATGTTCATCATTAGGTATTTAATGTTGCTTTCATTTTGTTTGTTTTTAATTTAACCACTTAATTTTGACCACTATAGCTCTGTTTACACCCAAACCTGTTGGGAATTTGGACAATACTTTAAAATTTACCAAGATATAAACTTGTGTGCAACACCTTTCACCTCAACAGAGTTTGAGGTGCTCTTTTCTGTATGCCCAAAATGTATTTAGGAGGTATTTATGAATGAAAAGAAAAATGTCTTTATAAATATTAATCCAATTCAACTTCATTTGGCAGTCTGAGTAGAAAGCAATAAGTTTAGAGTACTACTTTATAAAAACAACAAATGAAAAGTCAGTGGCTTGAACAGGTTGTCCCTGAGGATCGATCTGTGACAGCAGTTGGGAAATGCTTATCTGTACAAATATTGTGGCACAAAATAAAGATTTACAGTATTTCTTTTACAGATTTTTCTGAAACATGTTGATTTCTTTTCCCCTTGAATAACTCTCAGGTAAACAATAGATCTGCTTTTTGTCTTTGTATCATAATTAGGGCTTATAGGGGGTCTTCTCAAAGTAGCAGTAACAGGAAGTGTGGTTCATCGTGTAGGAGGAGCCCTCAAGACTATATAAATTCAGGGTTTTGTTTTGTTTTAGATACAACTAACTTTTGACAGAGACTTTGTTTCCACGTTTCCTACAAAAAATAGGATTTTAAACAGTTATTTAAAGGGATATTCCAGCGTAAAATTAAGTGGTCAAACACACCGTAACACCGAGTTAGACACCCCCTCGAGAGATGAATGTTGCTGACTGCTTGCTTCTCTAGTTATACCAACTTTAGTAATGACCGCAGGATAGCAATACACAACAGTCTTTGACATTTTTCTGATTTTTTTTTTTGCACCTATTGACTCCAAATGGTCTGAATCGAGGGTAGCAGCCCCTGACAATCCCATTCACTCAAATGGAGATTTCATGTCTTTGTGTGAATTAATGAAGCTAAATTATTTTCACAAAGGTCAGTTCGGGTCTCATTATGCAGCACAATAGTCATATTAATCAAACATCAAAGAGAAGCTGCACTGCTGCTACTGCAGAGTTTGCATTCGACTGTGTTTGTGCTTATCAAAACATTCAGGTTAAGGCCTATGAATATACTGGAAGAAAAAGAGGGGGAGGGGGGAGTGTGGTTTGGACAAAGCTAATTGATTTGAAAGTCCCTTTGAAGTCAGGAGTGTGTGAAGCATAAAATGGCACAGTTATTTTTTCTCATATTCACACACACACACACACATACTCACTCAACACCCCATTCAGCCCTGCTCAATTCATGTGCTCAGCTCTTCATTTTTAGAGAGGTCTTTTTGCCCTGATTTTTTCCCACAGCCCCCCAAAGTATCAATTCTTTAGCAGATGATTCACTTGGTTACCCAGAATGCAGATATTACCACTTACTCATTTTACTGCAGGAGAGAAAATGGACTAAAAATGCTCTTTAAAATGATCTCAGGTGAACTGAAAGATTGATGGTGGCAGTAAGACAGACACTACATACAATATCAGGATCTCTTGAACAGTTTAAGTCTCATAAATATTCGAATAGGAAAAAAAAAAAAAAACAACAGCGTAGAACTGAACATCTATGGTCCAAACAGGAATCCAAGATATGGAAGTCTATGTCATCTGGTCTTCTGTGTTTTATCAAGTCCAGAGTCAATGCGGCTAAAGTCTGCCATTAATCTGGGAAGCTTTAAAGAGATATAAACTTCCTTTTCCAAGACATACCACACAAGAAAGGCTATTAATATTTAAATGTAAATGTAGCAAACAAAAAATAATAATTTAGAGTTTACTTTTGAAACATATAATCATAGCTAACCAAAGGCATAAGCGTATTAGCGCACCTGCTTAGGGCCCTGTGGCCAGTAGGGGGCCCCCCAAGAGCAATAGAAAAAAATAAAATATTTTTTATTCTTTGCATGTATGAGTGATACTTTCTGTATGATCAAATATATATTATTGTAAAAATAAAATAAAGTAAAAATATTTTAGTGCTGCTGCTGCCCGCTGTGCAATGCGACGTTGGAATAACGTCTATTTAACGTATTTTTTCGACAAAGAGGTACAAATGTGGATGTCATTTCAACATCTAAAAGAGGTCCAATAATGGCGTCTAAATCTTGTGCCGACGTCTAGATTTGGTCTTCAGATGACGTCCAAATTCTTAACGTCAGAACGACGTCTAAAAAAGGCCTAGTTTGGACGTCAAAATTTCTAACCTATTTTGCACGTCACACTGACGTCTAGATCTGGTCTTTGACGGACCCAAAACTGACTTGATCTGATCACTGAATGCTCACTGAGCATTCTGAATGTGTTACATTTTGAGATTAAAAGCCATATGTAGCACCCTGAACATCATTCATCAGTCATTCATTAGTATTATTTGTATGGTTGCATTGGTATTATTTATGTTATTACCTAGGCCACCCCCTTAAATGTGTAAAGACATGCCAGGCGCATTAAATTTATACTGTAGTCGGTGTGTGAATGATCAACAATCAATATTATTGGCAGAAATAGAGGGCCCCAAAATCAAATTTTGCTTAGGGCCCCATTGAGGCTTGAGGCTCTGCATATAATGTATAAAATGAACTCCTTCTTGATAAAGTAAGATTTGGAGATGGACTTGTATCCTCACCCCACACCCAAACCACTAGGGGACACTGTTTACTTCTTAGCAAAACACAAAGTTACTCCTGTGAACAAGAGACAAGGGTGAAACTCCAGACTTTGTTGGGACTGCTACCATGCAGTTGGCAGGTCAGGAAAGCAAATCAGCAAAAACATGGTCTTTTCGTTTTGTTTGACAGTGAGATGATGAGTCAGAACGCTGCCTCAGCACTACACTCATTGATGTGTGCATACGGCTGGCGGAGATTACTCCTTGGAAAGTGTTGCAAGGCAAACAGCTTAGACAGGATGTGAGGGTTCTTCACAGGTTTCAATCACACATGCAGGTACGGTGCATTGCATACACACAAGCATTCAAACCAGCTCACCTCACATACAAACACTTGCACACACAGCAGATGGCTCAGTCAGCCTGCTTGTCACTTGTGCTTTTTGAACACCAGATATCTGAGGTGTCAGCATCGTGGATTGCGCTGAATAATTTCACAGGAATGATTCATACTATAATGAGGTGTTTGATGGACATGTCATTACGTAAGATGCAGAAAAGCAACTTATTTGACCTGATTTAAACAAATGAGATGCAAATATGAGCTTACAGCAATGCAAGCACAGAGTTATTGCCAACTCTTATCCCATGATTAAGATCCAGTGTAATTATACCGTAATGTGATTATTAATTGATCTCTTTTGAGAAATCCTCCTTTTAGCACAGTTTAAAAATCAGAGCTGAGACACAAGTCTGCATGTTACATAAGGGAACATCAAAGTTCTCAAACTAGTTTCTCTGCTAACTTTAACTCAAAGTTAACACAAAAAAGTTTGACTGTTGTGTTTACTGTTTGTTGTCTGTTGGTTTAAGAGGTGATGATCAAAACATGATTTATCACACAACTGTGTTAGAAACTTGTTTCTGATTGGTTTGTGCTTCAGTTTTAACATACCATACTATGACATTTTGAGCAAACTAAACTGCGTTTTTTTCATACTAAAATATAAAAGTTTTTACATACTATACTATGGCAATTTTGACAAAACAAAAAAGGAATTTTTTATACTAAAATATGAAATTTTAAGCATACTATACTATGACTTTATACCATATAACCATGTAAAAAAGACTTTTTTTGACATACTATATCATGACATTTTTTATACCAAAAAACATTTTCTTTTGTCTAAAATTTTATTTTTCTTTACCATACAAAACGTTTTAACATTCTATACTATGACATTTTTTTCAGACTAAAAACGAGGTTTTTTAACATACTCCACTATGGCATTTTTTCTATACCAAAACAGGATTTTGTTTTCTGTGTAAAATTATTTTTTTCTAAACAAAAAATTGAAAGTTTTAACATACTATACTATGGCATTTTTTCTATGCCAAAACATGATTTTGTTTTCTGTCTAAATTATTATTATTTTTTTCTAAACAAAAAATTAAAAGTTTTAACATACTATACTATGGCATTTTTTCTATGCCAAAACATGATTATGTTTTTTGTCTAAAATGATTACTTTTACTGAACAAAAAATTAAAAGTTTTAACATACTATACTACTGCATTTTTTCGAAACCAAAACATGGTTTTGTTTTCTGTCTAAAATTATTATTTTTTTACACAACAAAAAATTAAAAGTTTTAACATACTATACTATTGCATTTTTATGAAACCAAAACATAATTTTGTTTTCTGTCTAAATTTTTTTTTTCACTAAACAAAAAATTCAAAGTTTTAACATACTATACTATGGCATTTTTTCGAAACCAAAACATGATTTTGTTGTCTGTCTAAAACTATTGTTTTTTTACTGAACAAAAAATTAAAAGTTTTAACATACTATACCCTGGAATTTTTTCTATACCAAAACATGATTTGGTTTTTTGTCAATTTTTTTTACTAAACAAAAAATTAAAAGTTTTAACAGACTATACAATTGCATTTTTTCTATGCCAAAACATGACTTTGTTTTCTGTCACTTTTTTTTTTTTTTTTCTAAACAAAAAATTAATTTTTAACATACTATACTATAGCATTTTTTTATGCCAAAACATGATTTTGTTTTCTGTCTATTTTTTTTTTCTAAATAAAAAATTAAAAGTTTTAACATACTAAACTATGGCATTTTTTCTATGCCAAAACATGATTTTGTTTTCTGTCTAAAATTATTATTTTTTTACTAAACAAAAAATTAAAAGTTTTAACATACTATCCTTTGGCAATTTTTCTATACCAAAACATCATTTTGTTTTCCGTCAATTTCTTTTTCTAAACAAAAAATTCAAAGTTTTAACATACTATACTATGGCATTTTTTCTATGCCAAAACATGACTTTGTTTTCTGTCACTTTTTTTTTTTTTACTAAACGAATATAAAGAATTTTAACATACTATACTATGGCAATTTTTCTATGCTAAAAACATGATTTTGTTTTCTGTCTACATTTTTTTTTTTTACTAAACAAAAAACTAAAAGTTGTAACATACTATACTATGGCATTTTTTCTATGCCAAAACATTATTTTGTTTTCTGTCTAAATTTTTTTTTTCACTAAACAAAAAATTCAAAGTTTTAACATACTATACTATGGCATTTTTTCGAAACCAAAACATGATTTTGTTTTCTGTCTAAAATTCTTTTTTTTTACACCAAACAAAAACCTAAAAATTTTAACATACTATACTATGGCATTTTTTCTATACCAAAACATGATTTTGTTTTCTCTGTAATTTTTTTTTTTTACTAAACAAAAAATTAAAAGTTTTAACATACTATACTACTGCATTTTTTCTATACCAAAACATGATTTTGTTGTCTGTCTAAAACTATTGTTTTTTTACTGAACAAAAAATTAAAAGTTTTAACATACTATACCCTGGAATTTTTTCTATACCAAAACATGATTTGGTTTTTTGTCAATTTTTTTTACTAAACAAAAAATTAAAAGTTTTAACAGACTATACTATTGCATTTTTTCTATGCCAAAACATGACTTTGTTTTCTGTCACTTTTTTTTTTTTTTCTAAACAAAAAATTTATTTTTAACATACTATACTATAGCATTTTTTTTATGCCAAAACATGATTTTGTTTTCTGTCTATTTTTTTTTTTCTAAATAAAAAATTAAAAGTTTTAACATACTAAACTATGGCATTTTTTCTATGCCAAAACATGATTTTGTTTTCTGTCTAAAATTATTATTTTTTTACTAAACAAAAAATTAAAAGTTTTAACATACTATCCTTTGGCAATTTTTCTATACCAAAACATCATTTTGTTTTCCGTCAATTTCTTTTTCAAAACAAAAAATTCAAAGTTTTAACATACTATACTATGGCATTTTTTCTATGCCAAAACATGACTTTGTTTTCTGTCTAAATTTTTTTTTTTTACTAAACGAATATAAAGAATTTTAACATACTATACTATGGCAATTTTTCTATGCTAAAAACATGATTTTGTTTTCTGTCTACATTTTTTTTTTTTTACTAAACAAAAAATTAAAAGTTGTAACATACTATACTATGGCATTTTTTCTATGCCAAAACATTATTTTGTTTTCTGTCTAAATTTTTTTTTTCACTAAACAAAAAATTCAAAGTTTTAACATACTATACTATGGCATTTTTTCGAAACCAAAACATGATTTTGTTTTCTGTCTAAAATTCTTTTTTTTTTACACCAAACAAAAACCTAAAAATTTTAACATACTATACTATGGCATTTTTTCTATACCAAAACATGATTTTGTTTTCTCTGTAAAATTTTTTTTTTACTAAACAAAAAGTTAAAAGTTTAAACATACTAAACTATGACATTTTTTCTATGCCAACATGATTTTGTTTTCTGTCTAATTTTTTTTTTTTTTACTAAACAAAAAATTAAAGTTTTAACATACTATACTACTGCATTTTTTCTATACGAAAACATGATTTTGTTGTCTGTCTAAAATTATTGTTTTTTTACTGAACAAAAAATTTAAAGTTTTAACATACTATACCCTGGAATTTTTTCTATACTAAAACATGATTTGGTTTTCTGTCAATTTTTTTTTCTTAACAAAAAATTAAAAGTTTTAACAGACTATACTATGGCATTTTTTCTATGCCAAAACATGATTTTGTTTTCTGTCTAAAATTATTTTTTATTACTAAACAAAAAATTAAAAGTTTTAACATACTATACTATGGCATTTTTTCTGTACCAAAACATGATTTTGTTTTCCGTCAATTTTTTTTTCTAAACAAAAAATTAAAAGTTTTAACATACTATACTATGGCATTTTTTCTATGCCAAAACATGATTTTGTTTTCTGTCTAAATTTTTTTTTTTTTACTAAATGAATATTAAAAATTTTAACATACTATACTATGGCATTTTTTCTATGCTAAAAACATGATTTTGTTTTCTGTCTTAAATTTGAATTTTTATTTTACCATACAAAAAATTAAAGTTTTAACATACTATACCATGACATTTTTGTACGATAAATATTTTTAGCATACTATACAATGGTATTTTTATTCAAGCATACTGTGACATCTTTATCATACAAAAATAAAGGCATATTTTCTTACTTAAATATAATGTATTTTCATACTATACTGAGATTTTTTTAACATACTATACTGACATATTTTTGATACTAAAATGTACATTTTTTGAAATTTTTATCATACTAATCGTTGATGTATTTCCATATTAAAATGTGAATTTTTTATAATACTATACTATAACAAATTTAAAATCCAACCAAACAACCTTTAAAAAAATTAGAGCTTAAGACACAGCAAACACTATAAAAAAAGGAAAACATAGATTTCAAACATGAAAAACTTTGCTGAACTTAATTATCATGCTGACTTTATAGCTAATAAATAGATAGTTTAATCTAAAGACAAAATAACCAATGCTTTTTCATTGGAATTCTGAGGAATATAACCGCAGTACAAGAACCAATCTAGTTTCAGTGCATGAACTTCCTACATCAAAAAATATAAGAATACATATTGTGAGACGATGCAGATTATTTCTGCTATTGATGACTGTCTTATGATTGAAGTGAAAAATTGTGCTGCTGTGTTGGCAATGATTCTTCCATAGAGGACACTTTTCCCACAGAGAGAATATTTAGACTGATGAGACAAAATGAAAGCTGTATTGCATCTTACTCTGTGATGAGCCAAAAGGCCTCAGACCAATACATAGAACCCTGCAAAAACGCTAGCACTGCAAATAATCTGTCAGTAGGTGATGCTAAAGAGCCATACAGAACAAAGTGCTTCCCATCACCATGGTGATAGTGTTTGTTCAATATGGTGTGGAGGTTCCCCTGCAGTGTTCCCATAGTAAATCTGAGAGGAGACAGAGCATTGGGGTCTAAAGTGGGATGAGCCATTAGCCTGCAGGGAACAATCGAAGCCTTCCTTTAAATAGACAATGCTTGATTTGACTTGGCCGCATGGGGAGCTGGCGCTGGGGCTCACCATGCTTGCCTGAGCATCATTACAGTCAACATCTGTTTGATAGAAACCCCCAAGAAGGCCTGTTGTTAGCACGAAAAGTACCTCATCCCAAAAGCGCTTTCACCAGCAGGCTTTGAAACCTTAAAGGCTGCATGCTGTAGCTGCAGTAAGACATGATAATGGAGAACATTAAGAATATTCAGGTTTTCAGTCTCAAATCTTACTAACAGATTAAAGACTGCAAATTCATTTCACCAATAAAATCTTACACTTGATTCTGAAACTGAAGGGAAGCCAGGTCTGAGGAGATTTGATCAAGTTGTCTGTTTCCAGTTGGTAAAGTTGCATTTTGAACCAACTGTAGGCAATGCATAGTGGACTGATCAACATTAAAAATCAAAAGGAGATGTTATGAATGTGTATATGACTGAATAGATTGAATGCTCCCAGAAGTCTTAAATGGAGAAAGCTTGTGTTGCTAGTCCGTTGTCAACAGCAAGCCAGGGTTTTCAACAAAAACCGTGATGTCAAGCTTCATGCATGCCCATTACACTTTCAATGTGGGAACATTCAACTGCCATGCCCGAATCAGACAACAAAAGTAACAATAGTGGACATATTATCAATTATTAGTTTATTAGTTTATTAGTTTAACAAAACAATCTTTGTTATGTCGAAATAACAAAAAAAAAATCATTATCACAGGAAAACGAACTTTGTTGTATTGAGATAATGAGATTTTAAGTCATTATCATGAGATAAAAAGTGCGTAAAAAAAGAAAAATCTGTGTCCGTTCCTGTCTTCCATACTATCTCTCTCTTTCTGCGTTTCTTTCTCTCCTTGACTTCAAGTTGAACTGAGGGTGTGCAGTGCATCCAAATAAAAATTTTAGATGTATTCTCAAAGCAACATCAGCTGGTTATTCGGCCTCTCTGGAACAGCAAAAAGAAGCTGCAACAAGGAGCGTTACATCTCCTTTCTAAAGCAGTGACTGGCCCAACTAAAGTTATCATTCTTGATGGTCTGAGTTGGTCAGCTCTAGTTAAACATGTAAATAAACCTGTGAATAAAATAATTTTAGGAATCACCTTGTTTGTGATGTTTACCTACACATGAAGGAGTTGTCTCAGCAAACAGAAACTCACTATGAGACGGACTGATGGGCAGAAAGGGCTGATGTTGAACAAACTTTACGAGTGGTTGGAAGAGAGCAGAGAAGCAGATCTGCTGTAGACCGCAGCATGACTCAGCAACTCCACATATTAAGTCAAAGCTCTGTTCCCTGTCTAAACACCTGCCTGCATTGACTTCTTACAACACTTAAATGGCAAGAAGACAAGTAAAATATCGTTAGCATGAATATAAATGGAAGTTGCTTTAAATTTTAACGTTAGACCATTGCACTGATTCCTCCCTTCTCCTTTCTTGCTTTTAAAATAAGGCAACAACTCTCTTCTTTTTCTGTCTGTTCCCGGTGTATCACTTTTCTGTGTGCACATGTGATTACCTGAGCAGATAACAGAAACCTGAGATTCAGAGTGCTCACAGTCCACATCACTGTCTCTCTCAGCACCAGTCCTGACCTTGCCGCAGTGTCCTGAAGACTTCATGTGATCATCTATTCCTCTGTCATTCAGAAAGTTCCATTGAATCTGTGCCGGAGAGAAGTTCAGATAATCATTGAATCTGTATCCTTCATCAGCTGCATAATAATTACATTAATTGTTAAACCAATAAGGCCCAAAATGAGGTCATTATTAGTATAATTATTATTTCTTTTAATCAATCAAATTTTGTTCCTTTCAGCACACTGGAATTAAGCTCTCAGAGTCTTCCTGCTTTTTTCGCTGCCATGATGGAATCAAGTGCGTTTGAGAAAACAACTAATTTTTATCAGCGATTTTTCGCAAAATTTATTTGCTGTTCATGGCAGTAAAGGTTAACAGTGAGTTAAATTCGGTAAATTTAAAGCTGTCTTTTTTTTTATTTGACTTTTAAATCTTTTTTTTCTGACGAATAATATAATGTTAATTACATGATACTTTACAAATAAGTATTCATTTCAGAGACAGAAAAGTCATCTATAAAGCCACGGGAAAACTATTTTGTTTAGATGTTTAGATTAATTTTTAACATACTACACTATTATATTTTTTCAAACCAAAATCTGAAAAATTTTATGATACTATACAGACATTTTTATATTACTATTCTATGATATTTTTAGTATACTTAACTGACATTTTTTTTCAAACAACAATTAATTTTTTAACATTATATACTGTGAATTTTTTATCATTGTATACCAGAACATTTTTATCATAAAATTCTATGATGTTTTTATTTCATCCTTTTTTTTTTTTTTTTAAGCATTCTATCCCAGATGGGGATTCGAACCCAGGCCCTTCTTACGGTGAGATAAGAGTTCTATTCATTACACCACTGTGCTGCCCATGTCCATGCAGATCTTTTTATCATACTATACAATGACATTTTCTCATACTAAAATTTAACATTTTTATCATACTATACTATGACATTATTTTCATTCTAAATTGTATTTATTTTTTACATACTATACTGTGACATTTTTTAAACCAAAATTTGAATTTTTTTATCATACTATACTATGACATTTTTATCATAAATTAAAAATATTTTTATCATACTATACTGTGACATTTTTTTAACATACTATACTGACATGTTTTTGATATCAAAATGTGAAATTTTTGACATTTTTGTTTTACTATACTATGACATTTTGTCATTCTAAAATGTGAAATTTTTTATCATAGTATACTATGACAAATTTATCATACTATCCTATGACATTTTTTAACAAACTATACAATGGAATTTTTTCATATTAAAAATAAAGAATTTTGTCATACTATACTATGACATTGTTTTCATTTTAAAATTTTATATTTATTTATTATTATTATTATTATTATTTTTTTTTTTTCACAATTTTTCAAACTTTCAAATTAAACCTGGTTGATCATAATGACCCAAATCCCCACAGTGTTTGTTTCCTCAATAACAAGCTACTGCTGTTCCTTACTTCTTCTGAATCCCCATTTGATGCTCTCAAAATACCGTATATGTCATTCACTTCACAAGGTGAAAGAGTGAGTTTATGAATTTAGAGGTTTGTGCTAAAATTTATGACAGCAGCAGTCAATTTGCACTTCCTATTTTGCCCCAAACATGAGCACTTACCTCTGAAAAGACTCTCCTTGTGAGGTTGCTCTTCAGTGCACCAGAAGGCTTTTACTTACTGTTGTCTTTTGCACTCAATTGACTCGCTGTAAAGTCAAGCCTATTCATCAATAGGGTCTCGGTGCAGCCATCCTTCTTCGAGCAGTTGTTTTATTGACAGCTGAGCTTTTGGGAGACACTGCAAATGATGGGCTCCTCCATAAAAACGCCATCTGATCACTATTAGTTTTGATCTGATGGCATCTGGCCATTGTTAACAAACGCTTCGATTGGAAGCCGGCCATAAAAAATGAACAGCCATCTGCTGAGTGTAGAGTGGCTGTAAACAGCTTCAGATGACTGTGCGGAGGGAGACAGAGGCATTTATCAGCAAGTCATCATCGGCTCTGAGCCTCTGTTTGCTTTTCTCTGCTCCTCGCTTTTATTTGTTTACCTCACTTTATCCTTCTCTCTTGGATGTCTCTTTCTCTGTCTTTATATGCAGCTTTATTATCTCCTTACTTTACTCCATCCAGATATGAAAAAAAGAGATTAAACCTCATTTATTTTCATCTTCTATCTCCTCGTATTTATTAAAAAAATATCATTGAGCCACATCAGAAAGATAAGAAAGACGGATTGGTTTTTAAAATGGACAGTCACAGTGTTATATCGTTTAATTTTGGTCAGCTCTCACAACAGCGACAGAGGAAAGCCTGGTTATCTTTAGTTTTCCAGGCAAGAGTGAAGAACACAGAGCGGTGTTGTGAAGATGACCTGCATGACCTGGGGGTTAAAAATAGAGTCGGAGCAGCGATGCATTGTGAAGGCAATCCATTTCTGGGTATTATAGTGTACAAATATCTGAAATCAATCCCAGTAATCCAAGCAGGTCAACCAGAACTACACTGATGTTTTTTTGTGCCAAATTGAAGTTAAGTTGCTGCGTTTTAAAACACTCAAAGCTGTGAAATAGTGTAATGCACCAAGTCCAGTGCACTGGGAATTGCAGTAATAAAACTAAGCGGTCTCGGTGTTCCCATGAGACGATTATTGTATTAAATGGTCAGAAAAAGCTTCACTTGACAACAGAACCGACCTGACTGATAAAAATCTATACAAGAACTGATCATGGTTTTGGAGGTCAATCAGCAAAATTACAGGCAAGTGCCAAAGCGCATTGGTTTACCTGGTGACAAACTTCACCATTCAGCAAACCAGATTCAGGTAACAAGAACCAGGACTGAAAAATAAGAGGTTGTTGTTACATTTCCAAGAGACCCACTCAAATCACCTAACGTGGGTCCTGGGGACTTTCTGCATCAGAAAACGATCAACATTGTTTCACACGCACATACTGTTGACACCTCCTTTCCCACTTCTCTTTGTACTTCCTCTGTATCTGTGTGAAGACCAGCCAATGGCACTCTTCCAGACTGCTTACCTGCAGTGCATGTGTGTGTTTGTTTGTGTGTGTTTGTGTGTACATGTGTGTCCTGGCCAGGTCTGAAAAGGATCCTTCATCTTTCACTTCCTCTGACAAAGGAATCAGTCCAGTCAGCACAGCTGTCTACATGCTGCCTCTTTCCCCCCAGCACATGTCTCTAACGTCATGCTGCACCGCTCAGTCCTAGCCTCTGCTCTCCTCCATCACTCCATTTATTCTGGTTTACTCTACCTCTCAGTCTTTCTTCCTCTTTCTTCCTCTTTCTCTCTTATATAGTCCTACTCTGTCTCTGTCCCTCCATCACTCTGGCTTTACCGTACACCCACTTCTTCTCTGGTCTTTCTCTTGCCTCTAAATCCCCGTCCTGTCGTATCATCATTGTTTCCTCCCAGTTTCTCCTCTGTTTCAGACTCTGTCTTTCTGCCCCTCCCCTCCTGTCCCCTCTCTCCATCCTGGGAGTCCTCAGTCTTTTTACTGCTGTGTAACAGAGAGTGACATGTTTGGCAGCTCCTCTGCTCTCCCCTCTCATAAGGAATTACTGTCCTGACCCACTTCCACATGCAGGCATTGTCACTTCTACACAGCTGTGGAACAATCTGTGTCACCAACTGCCAAAGAGAAAGATGTGCAAACTAACCGCACTGACCTCGGTTTGTAGACCAAGAGCTTATTTATGCTCACTTTACAAAGAATAACAGATCCATACATTTGAAACAGTGCAACTGTCACAGCCCTCAACTTGCATTGGGATGGATATTAAACAAAACATCCACCTGAGGGCACTGCTCAGACCATAGACTGTATAAACTATGGACAACTTGGTTCCGCCTTCCACCAGTATACGGATTTGAAACCGAAAAGCTTGCGGTCATTTTGTGTTTTTTCTCCACTTCCCAAAACCAACATTGCATAGTAATGTTGTACGCACTTCACCACTTACGCAGTATCATTGTGCACATTCGGCGGGAGAGTCGCCGAGATGACGCTCAACTCAAACAGCGTATCATACGCCCATAGGCTGTATCAAGTGTCAATCATAGAAAATATGGACCCCCTAATAACTTTTGAAAACTAAGCTACACATAAAAAAAAATGACTTGAGCACAAACCAGTCTTACTGTAACTACATGTCAACATTGCAACAGGGGGGAGAAAAATTTATATTCTGTGTAGTAAATTTATAAAGTTTGTCCACAGCTCCATAAGGATTGCTGGAGGAGGCGGGATTTATGACCTATACTGCAGCCCGTCAACAGAGGGTGCTGTTCTCAGAGTGGCCTCACCCAGCAAGGAGGCAGTCGGCGTCCATTCTATATACAGTCTATGGCATAGACATGATAAGTGTAGACGCCTCGTTACGTGCTGGAGTGCAATCCAGCATCACCGCCATGTTGGATGTGTCTCCCCACTCCAGGCTCACTCTAGAGCCAAACGGGGTCAATGGAGAACAAGCAACTATGCCCGTTTTTTTGCGCTCTATGCCTGAAAAACACAACGCAGCATTGAAACCAGATCACGTAGGATTACATTTGCCAAATAGGATTGAAGGTAATTTGTTTTATTTTTAATGTGTGACATTGTCCTGTATTATTGCTAAATCCCTGCCATTGTAACAAATCAAACAGTGTGAAAATCGGGCAGAGATTCGGAGAGTTATTATCAATATGGTTGGGCATTCCTACCTACCTTGATGCGCAGGAGGCGCATGGGGGATCCATCCAAGATGGCTGATACGTGAGCTCCAATAGGCAGCTTTAGGGTTTGGCTTTAAGCGTCTATATATATTATGTCTATGGTCCATGGCTCAGACCCAAAAGATTGATCATTTTAGTTGATATGATCCTGAGTTTTCAGGGTTGCAGAGTGCAGAGTTGAAAGTAATCTTCTGATTATCCAAACTCGTCTGATGTAAAAAGAATAAAATCAACATCGAATCAAGAAAATGAAATTACTGAATAGTTGAATTTCCATTTAGCAACTTCATTTCTTTCCACATTACACTGATAGAACTTCTCAATCTTGTGAGATTGTTTTTATTTTGGAAGACAGCTTGTTCATTTAAAGATTGTGTTCTTTTTTTTTAACTCAGTGTTTTTATTCCTGCAGTTTATTTGAACCAGCTTGGTTGTTTTGTTTCTCAGAAGAGGTGAAAATCCTTAAAAAATCCAAGCACTGAGTGTCCAGAGTTGGTTCTCATGAAGACAGTATAAAACCAACACTTACTCACCAACGTACATGAGCACACAATACAAACTTATCACACACAGACACACTCAGTAGACCTGGCGGTAAAACACGGATTGACGCCATAATCTGAAGACGCCACATTTCTCTGGACTCTGTGACATGGCAGAACTTACGGCTCTGGGAGTTTCACACGCTGTTTTCACAGTCTGCTGAGGCCGAGGCTGTGCTCCCACACCGCCAAACTGGCAAATGTTTCACAGCTGATTTTATGTCGAGCCAGTGAGAGAGTCTCATAAGCTGCATACTTTCATATACCTGCTTCAGAGCACAGAGGAAGCTGTGTATCTCACTCTGCTTCCTCAGATGTTAAGACTTAGAAATCTGCTCCGTCTTAGTTTGACAACAAGGCTCATTCGCACCGACTGCTGCACAGGAAAAATGTGTTATGGTTCCTTTTATGGGACAAATTGAACCTGACCTGTTTTAGAGGTGAAAACAAAGTGGACGGACTTCTTTGGGAACAACTTTTGCTTAGAAAGTGTGATGAGAGCCTGTTCGGGTAAGTGGCACTCAGCAGGAAAATCAGCATTCTTACTTTTTATTTTCTCCAATTTTAATCAGTTTTCAAGTTAAAATTGAAATAAAAATACAGTAATAATTGAAACAATCATCAAATTTAAGATTTGTTTCACTGAAACGTCTTTATTTTCTGAGAGTCACTGCAGTGTGTGGGTACTCAGATGCTGCTTTCTTTTTGATGTCTGTAAGGATTAACTCCACACAAGGTGGGCTTCAAATGGGATTATCTGGAAATGCATGTCAGATTTTCTGCACTCCTTTGTGATGTAATTTGGCAAATTTAAAAAAGAAATGTTTCAAATCTTCTAAAGTCTATGTGTAATTAAAAGTAGCGCAGAGACAACGTGAAAATATGGAAACTGTAAAACTAGATTGTTTTATGATAAATAAAAGTTCATCTAACGGTCATGTTTGCCTTTGTGCCCTTAACAACTAACTTTTCTCAAACTTTCACAAAAACTGCTCAACTGTTCTCCTTTTTTGTGTGTGCATATTTCATTAACATTTTCATTTCATTTTTTGTGCATGGGTTGTGTCACTGTGTCTTTGTTAGGTCTAGTATTTTGTGTTATCAGTTGGCAGCTTTATCTGTGCAGCTCTCAGAGTCCAAGACAAATTTTCCTAAGGGGACAATAAAGTGTATCGTATCGTATCGTATCGTATCGTATCGTATCGTATCCTACTTTTCTAGAAACATTAAGAAACTTTACAAGCAATGCTCTTTATACAGTATATAGTCTTTATTTGCTGGGATATTTTCCTCTACTTCCAGTTCTATTTTAATCACGTTTCCCCTGGAATTAAAATATCTAGAAAGCTTTTAAATACATGCCAAAACAAACAGACAAACAAACAAAAAAAAACCTGTAATTTTCCTATCAGATACACTGTTTTCTCATTTTCTAGATGATCCTTTCTCTTTCTGTTTACATGCACCTCTCTGCAGGGGAGATGCAGCGCTTGGCATGGTTGGTGCTGCTGATGGTGTGGATGGTGCAGGCTCAGGAGAGCTGTCCTGATGTCTGCAGATGCTCAAGAAGGTCCAGCCCAGAGAAGACAGAGGTGAACTGCCATAAAAGGGGGTTTCATTCCTTTCCCACTAACCTGCCCCCCGATGCCTGGATCCTTAAACTAGGTGAGCCACCGGTAGTCAGTGGTTTTCAATAACTGTGACAATCTAGACATCTTTTCAAGGTGTTGTGGACCTTAACTGCATCCTTAACCAAATTTCTATCCGCCCCCCAAAGGTGAGAATGGTATTGCAGACCTGAAGGCAAACATTTTGAGCTCAATTCCAAGGATTGAGAGTATAAATCTGGAGCGAAATGCTATCAAGTCTATCCACCCCCAAGCCTTCTCTGGTGCAAAGCAACTAATGCTCCTGAATCTTTACGGCAATCACATCACCAGTCTACCAGGGAGGGGTTTTCAGGTAAATGTTTAAAAGCGAAATAGACTCTACATAGAGCATCATGAGAAGATGGTCTCACTGCAACAGCTGTGGTTCTTTTCATGTCTCCAGGATCTCCTGAACCTTCGCTTCCTAATGCTGGGTCAGAACCAGATTGGCACCCTCAAAGCTGAGATGTTCACCGGACTGAAGAACTTGTCGGACTTAGATCTTCCTCTCAATGCGCTCACAATGCTTACGCCTAACACCTTCAAGCCTCTGATTGCCCTCAAAGTTCTGGACCTGTCGCTGAATCGCATCCAGAAGATCTCTCCTAAAGCCTTCAGTGGACTCCGACAGCTAATGTTCCTCAATTTAGACAACAACAGGTCAGAGGTCAAACCAGCAACGTGTACAAGATGCAATATTCATTACGAGTTCTAACACTCTCTCCAATCTAGCCTGAAGACACTTCCTGCTGGAGCATTCAGACCTCTACGATCTCTGGAGATGCTGGTTTTAGACAACAACCTCCTGTCCACACTCAACCCGTCCGCTTTAGATGGCTTGGAGAACTTGCAGGTAACACAGTCTATCTATTTATCTGATATGATGTAGAAATGATTGGATCTTATCATATATTGGCAGGTCACTATAAACTTACTGACTCTACTTGACCAAACTTGAGTTACTTCAGTAGTCAAAGGTAAAAGGTCCATATCTGAGATCCTGAGCACAGCATGCAGAAATAAAACTTCAGTCAACCAGATGACAGCTTTGAAAAAAGGCCATTGATCGGTTTGTACAATACTTTTACTGATCCAGGGTGCAACACACCAGTGGGACTTGGACCTTAAACATCTCAATCGGTAACCACGTAGATCTGTGAATCTTTACACCCTGACTATGGATGGTTTTAGAGCAGCTATTATCGGCCCGGCCCTCTGCTACCTCAGCCATCTACTGTAAAAATGTTAAGTGCATACTATAATTGGATAATTTCTTTGTCTGCTCAGCTGATTGAAACAGTAAGGTCAACGAGTAAACACTGAATTTTGGGCGATATGGCCTCAAGTCAATATCACGATATATTGAGCAGTTCACCTCGATAATGAAAAATGGACGATAACTACTCCACAAACTGCTCACCCCCTCCCACATTAACTTCGTCTACTTCAGCCGCTACAACTTTTGAACAGTCCACCACCTCCTCACCTGTCTTTCCCTGTTTGTTACGAACTGGATGGGGTGGACTCCGACATAGGACAGTGTCTTAAAGGGACGTGAAACCATAGCCTAAATTCACACATCCAAAACCAACTTTGATTCATTCATTTTTTTGACACCGAAAATATTGACATGCTCAAAATGACGTTGGTTATTGTCGTAAGTTTCGTAAATTTTCGGTTTATCGCCCAGCCCTAGATGCAGTGCATTTTTCCAAATTTTAACGGTTGAATAAACCTCAGAAAAAAACTGTTCTGATTGATTCTCCAGGAGCTCTACCTGAGGAACAATGAGTTTGAGCAGCTGCCACCTGATGTGTTCAGGAGCATGGCCAAACTCTCTCAGCTGGCTCTCAGCGGAAACCACCTCAAGACAATGGATGGAACCATTTTCACCCATATGCCTGGTAAAAGTATTGCCTGACTGCACAATTTTTCACAGGAGCTAAGATAAGATAAGATGAATAGAATTAAATTGATCCCCGAATTGTTGTGTTTGTGGTAGTTGATGAATCTGCCACAGTGTTTACTGATGCTAGTTTACTTTTGGTGATTTTTTATTCTTTCCCAGAACTGAAGAAGCTGCACCTCCATGACAACTTGTGGCACTGTGACTGTCACCTCGTCTCTTTGATACAGTGGATGGGCCAGAGTAATACAACCCTGTCTCCTCGGGGCTCCCTGAGGTGCACGAGTCCTCAGGAACTTCGTAACAGAGGCTTATCCAGTCTCTCAGCAGACGTGCTGCTGTGCAGTGCCTAACCCCTTCGAAAACAGGGATGGAGTGCAGCATAAGCGCGGGATCCGTAGAGATTTAGATGTGCTATTACAGATATTTTTTTAACGTTCTGTACATCTTTATTTTTAGAGAAAACTTGTGTCTGATCTGATCTCTGAGAGCTGCAACACAATCAATAAACTTTTCTGTAGGATGATGCATCTCCTCTGCTAAAGCAACGTTTTGATGTTTCATCTCAAAACCTCACCTTTGGCTTGTCCAACATGTACTTTTTAAATAAAAACCAAGAGCTGTATATGCAGTTTTAATCCATACTGCAGCACACAATCCCTAAACTGCAGCTGAGATGTGGTGATTGCTAAAAAACTGGAGTTTAAAAGAGAAATACACGGTGTCTTCAATCTGTATGAGCAAAGAACAAGCACTGTCTTTATCTCCAAATTCAGCTTTAAGATTATTATTATAATCTCATATTGCTTGTTGTGAAGCTACGCAGGTTGGGAAAGAGATGGATTACATGCAATGGGATTATATTAATCCCATTTCAGCAAATGGTCTCTATAATCTTTAGCTAATGTAAAAAATTGGATTGTGAGAGGATATACACACACAAAAAAAAATGTACACGGCTAAAACTAAAAGAGATGATAATGTGAGTTGAATGTGATAAAGGAATAATATTTTTGGAGAAGCAAAAAAAGAAACATGATCCAGGCTGACAAGAGCGTAGCTGAGTGGTGTCACCCGAAAAGGGCCCCGAACAGCCCAAAGACTTTTTCTTGACACAACTGCTGGTTCACTTCAAGTGTAATTATTCTTAACGCATTTTAAAAAAAAAGGCTGATCCAGACCAAAGTCATGTTTTTGATAAATAAACCTCAAGGGTTTTCACGTCTGACCTGTTTATTTCAGTTAGGAGGAACTGACAGCTGTCAGTCAAACCCTGGAGCAAACAGCCATACTGAGACCACTTAAAAAAGACGGGTTCACTTTTGTTCAGACCGGTCCAGTTTGTGTTTTGTAATGGTGTGTTCAATCTGGATGTCAGAGCTGGGAATGACTCCACACCCAAGCTGACTAATTTCCTTTTACGAGCTGAAAACAAAGTCTGATTATTTCTCCCAGGTATATTAACTTTTACTCCATTAAACTTTTTTTTTTTTTTTAAATGAAGTGGTTAAAAAGTGTTAATAGATATTTTTTTAGACAATCAGCATATATGTTGTGATCCCAAACATGTATTTTGCAGCTACAGTATTTGTTTTATCAGTTAGTTTTAAATAAAAATGACTTTGAAAGACGATCATCTGTGGGAGAACTATTTCTATGTGAATTCAAAATGTATTTTGTTATTTAGTTCACAGGTATTTATTCCAGGTTAAAGTGATTTTAAAAGGATATTCTGGCATAAAATTAATTTAGGGTCAAACACACCGTAACACTGAGCTTTATACCCCCATGAAGGATGAATGTTGCCGACTGCTTGCTTCTCTAGTTATACCAACTTGAGTAACGGTTGCACGATAGCAATACACAGCAGTCTCAGGAGCCACACACAATTCAACCAAACCGCCACTCTATAGCCACAAATAATGCTCAGAACAGCACCTAACTTCATACACAGTACACATAGGGTCCCAGCCATAGTGCTAGCCATCAAACATCTTTTTAGCTTTGTCTAATTTCTTTAGCAAAGAGACTAAACACAACTCACCTACTCTCTTCCAGCAGCCGCTTGTTTGTAGCGAGACCTTGAACAGTCCATCATCAACTGAGGCAGGGGGGCGCAGCTCAAGGAAGAACATTTATGATAACTTTTCTAATTATTTTTTAAATCATTTTTTGAACTAATAATCACCATATTAATCATTTTGCTCTAGTTCTTCTGCCTTAGCGTCTCATTTGCATTTCCATAAAAAATGATCATAAATGTTCTTCCTTCCTTCTGCCGGAATATCCCTTTAAGTAGTAAAGTCGTTGAGGCCCTATGTGAAATGTTTTTCATGTCATGTGATTTTTTACAGCATAACACTAGATGGCTAGAAACCTTTCTTTAGTACCTAAAATCCCTTTTTGCAGCCGACTTTCATGCATCTCATTGATGCGCATTATACACAAGTAAATTACTAAGTTTACAAACCGTGTAATGATTGCTTTAGGTTTGGGAGATTATCACTGATCATCCACAGGAGGGACAGAGATGGGGACAGAAATAGACTCTGGTGTTAAGATCAGATTATAGAGGCAACAGCATGAAGTGTCACCACACTGTACAGGGGTAATGGTGAAGGCAAGTAGGGTTGAGATAGGAGGAAGAGAATAGCAGAGTGTGATATCCTGCCCTGTGCTTCCTGTTATTGACGAGGTGACTCCCATAGACCTCCTCACACAATGACTCTGGTGTCTAAACGCTGCCATCTCCCTCTCCAGCAGGGAGATAATTGCCATAATTTACACCTGCATTAAAACCTGTCATTATAAAAGAGCGCCTAAGAACAATATAATAGCTAGGCTTTGTTCTGAGCTGCATTTTTTCACACTTCCATTAGTAGCTGTTGCATATTCTACTCTGAGGAGATTTTTCTCTCCTCCCTGATGTTTCTTTTTTGGTATGTTTATTTTAATTGGCAGCTGCTGCCATCATCTTTAGAAAGAGCTTAGGTCATTGAAACCATACACCAACATCTCAGTCGTTCATAGAATGAAAAATTAAATTAAAAGATTTTATAAAGTTAAAGATTTTATGACAACATTTCAGATTTAATATGAAATCACAAGTAGCTGAGCTGAGTATCAAAAGGTGTCCTTGCATTGTTTTATCTTAAAGGCATGGTTGACGATCTGAGAAGCAGTTGAAAAAAACTGAGGCATTGAGGCAGATTTGAAGCTGCTACGCTACTTTTAGCCGCTCAGAGCTCCGAGGACGGCCGGGAGGCGATATATTTTTTTGTAGGACGGTAGGGGAAAGTCCTGCCTCCTTCGCTTCTGATTAGCTAGAAAAGCTGGAAACGTCATCACACGCGCAAGCCAAACGCAGCTCTGTACATCTAACAGAACATTACAGAACATCATCTCACTTACCTGACAGACAGTGACGTTTCACAGCCACAAGGAATAAGGAATCGGAGCCCAGCACTTCTAGCCAATCAGAGGCGAAGGAGGGCGGGACCTTCCCTTACGATCCTACAAAAAAAAAAAATTCGCAGCTGGGAGAGTGGGAGGGGATGAGTCGGAACTACTGGAAAGGGGTGTGTCGAATACAGCGAGGTGATTGGATAACGAGGCCGAGCAGGAGATTGACCAATAGGAGCTGTCCGGGACGGATGGCTCCCATTGGTCAATGTTTTTGCAGCCCTGTACCTGCTAAGGTGAACAGATTTTTTCCATTCTTTTTTTCTCTTCACTTTGTGGAGATCGCACTATAGGACCATGATTACCATATAAACGAGGTTCATAATAATTACCAATCTCTCCGATCGCCAACAAGGACTTCAACACTTATTGTTTTAGAGATTTAGGACCATAGGAACATACACTTAGAGAAGTTTTAAGTATGTTTTTGTTTTGACTTCCTTTCCTTATGTTGTCAGAGAGGCAGAAAGTAGCAACTAAAATATGCTGTAGGAAAACAGTGAGCAGGGCCAGCAGTGTCTTTCTTCAGATAAGATACCTCTCTCTGCATCTTATACTGGCATAATAGTTGCACTGATGTTTATGGATGCAGCTTAATCTTTAAGAGCCAAAAAAGGTTAAAAACAAGTGACTTATGCTGCAAATTTAACAGTACTTCCATCTACCTCTTATATCCAAGGAATGGACTTGTAAATATAGCATGCAGGGAGGTTGCGCTTCATGCATTAGTGTCTTCCTCAGAGTTCAAATTGAAGAGTAGGTGGACAGGGATTAGGGGCGAGTTGAGAGGTGTTGAATGGCTAACTGGTGTTGGATGGAGAAAAGGAATTAACAACAAAACATATCATTCTTGAATGATAAAATTAGAAACGTGGGGGATTAACTCAAGGCTAAACACTGCTATTTATTAGAGGCAGTCACGTCCTACACCAAACATCACCCCAATATTACAGCGATGTCCTTGATCCTGTAGCAAAGACCAGCTTAACCCTCGATGAAAAACAAACACTTTCATTAAGATACAAGAACTTTGAGAGGAAGTAGACATAAAACAGTCTAAACCTTGAAACTTTAAGTACTTAGAGAAAAATAAATCTGGGTGTAATACTGTCTTAATCACCCTTCACTTGATTTACCATCTGACGGGCATATTGTGCATGACTTTATGTATTAGAGACTTTTAGGGCAACAGGATGAGTCTTTGAGTTTTGTACAGGATTCAAGCAACTTTGCATCATAGTGTTTTTTTGATATGAGGAACACAAAAGAGTCCTCACTACAACACAAGACAGGCTGTAAAAACATGTACATAAAGGTAATGACATGGGCCTTAAGCCCCTTCATCCTCGATCTCATAATATTTATATATTTCCCTCATGGAAATATGAAATGTGACTGCCCATGTGCATTGTTTCTTTTGACCTTGCACAAAGTCATTCTACCTCAGTCAGCGCTACACATACAGTATATATATATTTACTCACACCTCAGGCTCAACATACTGTTTACATTTAGTGTTTGTGGGCAATGAGCTTCATGAAGTGTGTCGCAAATAACAGATGATGTCGAGCTCGATCACCACCACACACTATAGTGGTATCTGTACTCTACCACTCCTTCCCCCTGTTGCCGTGGCAACTCTTCCAGCAGATGTATGTGTTGGTGTTTCCCAGCAAGCCCGACATTGAAACTTTCTCCTTGAGACAAATCACCTCAGAAATGTGTGATTCAAGGACAGAGGATGCAGCAGGGGTAGGAATAAAAGCTGATGTGACAGGAGAGGTGGTCTCTCTGGTCAGTGTTATCAGATAATTTTACTTGGTGTTTGCATGAGCTGTGAAAAAGCCACAATCCAGGGTACTTAACATCAAACAGAGAAAAAGTAATTAGAGCTTATGCTGAGACAGTGGACACAGTATTTATGGTGTTTAAATGTTAATACAGAAATACGTCATTTA